TTGAAAAACTTGAAGGGCATGCTTGGTTGAAAAGAATAAACTAGGAGTGTGTCACAGGTTTGAAGTAGAAAACATGATACCAAGCATTTTTGTAATCAAAATAATTGAAATGAGAGTCGAATGTTTTATCTTTAGATAAATGCATTCTTTTCTCATTTCATGGATTTTGTCCCCAATTTTCATAAAACAATACTCTTTGCATACTTATTTTTAAAAAATCAATTTGTTTGTTTTGAGGGTTTGCAACATAGGTTATGATGACCGATCCCAATTTGATAAGGATGGTTTCATAAAAAAAGTCTTGATTTTTTGATATTTCGGGGCAAGAAATAAAATTAAGAAGGGAAAATGTCTTTAGGGCATTCATTTAAAGATGAATACCTATGTACCCAGAGGTTTTCATTTCAAGAATGGGCATTTGAATAGGTTTAATTAAGTAATGAAAAGATTTTGAAGGATTAACGTCAGGCAATTTTCTTGAACCAAGTGAAATAGCCTTTTTGAAATGTGAAAGTGAAGTTTTTGGTATATAGAAAATATATTTGTTTTGAAAAATTTTAGGTTTCTGGAAAGTTGAGATGGATAGAGTTTTTGAAACTTGAGAAGAGGATGAACTTTGTTTTTATCTTTTTAAACCTTGAATATAATTTTCAATTGAAAGTAAATGAATTGAAGTTTTCTTCTTATTCTTCTTAGAAGAAGAATCCATTTTTATAGTCTCTCTTTTTTGATATTCTCACAACTCTCTCAAGAAAGTTTTTTCTCCATGAACTCTCTTATAAGGAAGTTTGCAAGAACATTATATTTTCCTTTTATATATAAAGGAGGGAGATAGAGTATGTCGATAACAAGATTTTTGAATAATTGACATATTTTATTTGAAATAAAATTTTTGCAAAGAAAGATAAAATTACAAGGATTTTAAACTTTCTTGAGATGCAGAAAAATATTCTAATTTTTCGTTCTGCCTAAAACCTCAATAAGAGGTGATATGTATAGATGAGGTTTCGGACTTGAAATTACATTAAATTGAAAATAAGAATCTTGAATAGTTGATTGATTGAAGAT